CATGAAGCGGTTCAACGCCGCTACCCGGCCCGTCAACCTTTGGACATCCTTCTTATTTTCAGTGCTTTTCATCTCTAGAATGGCTCAAAATTTGTCTGGATTTGCTTCGATGCCTCTCTGTGTTATCACAAAACCTAGAAACTTACCTCCTGCTATCCCAAAAACACACTTCTTCGGATTGAATTTTAGTTTATTTTGTCTGGCAATATCAAACACTTTCGGTAGGTCGCTAACATAGTCGTTCGCCTTCATGCTTTTGACGACCATGTCATCTACATACGCTTCAATGACGCTCCCAAGCAGTTTGCTGAAGACCTTATTCACCATTCTTTGGTAAGTAGCTCCAACATTTTTCAAGCCAAACGGCATGGCTATATAACAGTATGTCCCAGCATCGATTATGAATGAGGTCTTCTCCTGGTCTGACTCTGCTATAGGGATCTGATGGTAACCAGAAAATGCATCTAGAAAGCTCAGTCGCTCATGACCTAATGTGGCATCCACCAAGTAATCTATTCTGGGTAGAGGGTACGAGTCTTTTGGACATACCTTGTTTAATCCGATATAATCTACACACTTGCGCAATTTTCCATTCGACCTCTTCACTAGGACAACGTTAGCTAACCATGCAAAAATGTCTAAGTTGTTAGACAGACACTTTACCAATTCTTCTTTTTCCCTAGGCCCCAGGTTTGTTCCTATGCTGAATTAACGCCCTCCAACTACTAAAACTTTTTCCGTAGTATTGAGGGGCTCAATCCGCCCTCTTGGAGGCTCAAGATCTAGCATCATTACATGCGGTGATTCTTTTGTCAGTATACTATCAACATAACACTTCCTCGAAGACTGTTGGTCACCCCTCACGCTTCCCACACCTCGACTGGTTGGGAATTTCATCACTGGTGGTAGGTGGAGGGAATTGCCCCAGCAGCATTCAGCAAGGGTCGACCGTAGATTGCATTATACGCCATGGGGATTTTGACAACCAAAAAATTTGTCAAGATCACCACCCTTGCAGGATAGGTACCCAACGTCACCGGTAATTCCACGACTCCCTCTGGTATCATGGTAGCTCCTCCAAATCCTAGGAGAGGGGTGGACAATGCTTTCAACATTTCTAAAGGAATTTTCAACCCCACAAAAGCTTCCCAAGTGAGAACATTCGCGGCACTTCCACCATCGACCAATACCCTTTTAACATCGTAGTTTGCTACGTCGCCGAGGCCGCCACTCCTACTAAATCTTCCTCATCAAAAGTGATACTTTTATTAAATGGCCTTTTTCTAAATGGAGCAGACCCCGACTGTGCATGCGCATCTCTTTCTAGCCAAATTCGAGTATCTCCCTTATGCGATCCCCCCAATAATCACATTTATGATCCCGGCCCTGGCGGTGGTCGATCATCAACTTTCTGCTTGCCTCGATCATTTCTGGTGTATTTGGTCAGAGAACCCTGCTTCAATAGGCGTTCGATTTCCTCCTTCAGATAGATACACTCTTCCGTATCATGCCCATGGTCCTTATGGAAATGACAATATTTGTTCTTATCCCTTTTGCTGGTGGATGCTGCCATTGGTCTTGACTAGTCAAGCTCTTTCATATCCGTGATCTCCATCAATATCTTGGCCCGGGGTGTATTCAGGGAGGTGAAGCCCTTGTCTTCATCTCATCTTTGTCAGATGGATCGATCCAGAACATATCCTTTGCCCGTGCGCTCATTCCTTGATTTGCCTTT